TCATGTCTTGCACCATGAGCAAAATCTTTGCTGTTATCTGAGTAATTATTTCTGATTTCATTTTTCCCAGATCCTCTTTTGTTGCCAGTTCATTGAGTCAAGGTGGTTGAGTATCAGATTGTTCCATCTCGTTTCCCTTTGGGGTTGCTGTAGGTGATCCAGAAGTCTGTTTTTGAGGCTTTTTTATGTGTCTTCTCATTTCCACGGGGGAGGGGGGTGCTTCTGGTGCCCACGCAGCTCACTTTCTCTGCCCTAGGAGCTTGGGATGGCGGTGGGGGAGCTTCCTTCTGGGTGCTGTCAAACTCTTTAATGAAAAAAATTAGAAGGCAGAGCCAAACTTTCTGGTAAGGGGAAGCGGTAGAACTCACCCCTAGATGTCCCACCAAGGAAGCTACCAATTTTATCTTATTTTGATATGCCTTTTTACATGTGGTTTTCCTCACAGTTCTGTGTGTTAAGCCTTGGTTTTCTACTTATGTTTAAAAGTTGGGACCGCGATGTGAATTGGGTGCCTTGCGTGCACAGTGACAGCATGGCTAAGGTTGGCTGTGTCCCTATGGCTGACCTGGGGCTGTGCAGCTGAGACAGTCTCCTAGCTCAAAGGAGTAGGCTTGTCCCCTCTGCTGGGCACATAGACACTAGCTCTGTCCCCTGGTTTCAGCATCCTGACTCCCCTGGGCCAGTGACCTTCAGTCCGGAGACCTTTTTCCTCAGGCTAGTGGGATGGTTGCCAGGTGATAAGGACTAGGGAGAGGTGGCCCCAGGATCCTGCGAGCATCCGCAGCTGGGTTCCTGTTCGGCCTTCAAGCCGGGCTTCTTCTAGGCCCGATAGTAGCACTCCTCCAGTCTGCTCCCAGCTTCCAGAATTCAGTTTCTTTCCCGTTCTTTCAGCCTTGTGAATTCATTCCTGTTTCAAAAGTGGCCTGGGGAGGAAGCAAAAGTGTGTGCAAACCATGGTCTCTGTTCCAGGACTGTCACTGACAGAGCTCTCGTGCTGGCACCTTCACTTCCATGCCCACACCCGAATAAACGGCCTTTGTTGACCATCAGTCCTGATAGCTTGTGACCGTCCTCTCCCCAGCACTACATCTCGCCCTCCCGTGCAGATGGAGTCGCCCTAAGCTGGACTCAGCCTGGTGGATTTTGCTCTTCATGTTCCTTAAGGGGCCTCTCACTGGAGTACATGGTAGTAGGTCCTCATAGGGCCTTACTGTGCATGATTCTGTCACTATTTTCTGTGGCTATTTAATGCTTACTAGGAGCCAACTATTTATTTTGTAAAAATGAATATATAGGATCCTTGCTTGGTGACTGCTGATCTACATTAGTGACTAGTAATTCCTGTTAATTAGCTGAGTCTTCTGCTCCCTGTCAAGCCGCCATGATTTCATTGACATTTCAGATGCACTTTGATTCATAGCATTATTTACTAGGGCGCATTAGCTGTTACCTTTCTCTTGTTCATGCAAGTGTTTCACATATTGTTGTAACCTATTATTTTTTGGCCCTTGGCTGAAACTTGCTTACTGGCCTCTTTCAGACCTAGTAGAAATTAGAAAGTGGTTTTTGCCAACTCAGTTCTGCTTGGAGCCATGTCCTAGTTCCATCTGATTATTCAGTGCAGCCGTATTGATTGTAGAGGGAAATGGCATGACCTTAGATATTACTTTAGTATATGTGCTGCCGAAGCGAGAACAGCCTTAGATACTGTTTTGACGCTAGATACGCTTGCAAGAGCGAAGCCCAGCAGATAGTATTCAGACAACAAGAAAGGTTTGGTCGAAGCTCAGCCCTGTAAGTGCCAAAGTAACTCTAACCACAGCCTGGCTTTCTGGTTGTATATAACAGGCCCCTAAGCGGGTGGAGTGTCTTTCCTTTAGCCTTTTCCCATTTCCACTAGTGCTACAATCCCCAGTGCTCTCTACGGCAAGGGAAGCAATCAGAGAGAATCAGTAGTAGGTACAGAAAAGCAAATGGGCCATGCGTTTCTGAAGTTGAGGTTAAGTAGATACCACTAACCCAGTCTGCTAGAGCAGGGGAGCATCTGTAGCCTGCATGCCAGAGCTTCCCAGGGCCTGGAATGTGGATGGTTTTCAGTTTTAAAGGGTGGCTTGGGCAAAAAGAAAAGATGACAAGAAGAGGAGGGGGAGGAGGGAGAGAAGTAGGAAGCGAGAGAAGGAATACATAACAGAGATTTTACATGATGTGTACCACGGAAAGTATTTACCAGCTGGCTGTTCTCAAGAAGTTTGCAGACATGTAGTCTCAGGGCCTCACTGGCTTGGGCTCATTCCTGTCCTGACCCTCATGTTCCTCAAATCAGGGAGATCTCTCAGGTGTTTGCTGTGGCTTTTCATGTGTGTGTCTCTATCTGATTTCACAAAGCAAGAAAGAATTATAAATAGGTTTGAATCACTGCTTCTTGAGTTTGTGACATCTGAGATTTACCAACATAAAGGACGTGTTGAATACACATTCCATAGTGGAGTGTGTACACACACGCATACACAGATTGGCACTGCCTATCCTAGGCTGAGTACCCAGCGACATGTGGAAGAAACAGCAACAATATGAATAGGGTTTCTGTTAACCCTGTGGCTTAGGTAGAGATGCTGTCATTAAGATAGCTGCTGAATTTATGTCTCTTTGTGAAGAGCAAAGTTTGGATAAAAGTGAAAACATACCCATGAAATACAGATACTTTCATCTACTGAAAACCTAACCTAATAAAAGGTTCCACCTAAATAATTAACTTTAGAATTAGATGTGTTTTGCAAGTTATGTTGTTGTAAAACAGTTTCAATCTCCATACTCCAAAACATCCACATACCACTTCCAGGTGAATTTTCCAAAAATTTAGCTCTGATCCACTCATTCCCTGCCTTTGAAATGGTCAGGTCTACGTTACTTATCAAAGGGATGTGATACTCAACATTGAGAAAGAAGTGCGAGCCACTAAGTAAATTACCAAACACCCCCTTTTCTGTCAGCTAACCAGTGTAAAAGTCACGGGAAATGATGAGTGGCCAGTCTCTGGGCTGCACATATTATGCCACGCTTCTCTCAGTGTTAGGGGCAGTTCCACAATCCCCTTGAGTCCACAGGCAAATTCAGCATACTGATAAGCTGATTATTCCTCTGGCAGCACAGTATTTCCCCTGTGCCACCAAGAGGCGATTTGACAGAATGTTCAGATGAGCAATCAGAAACAAATTTTTGCAGCCCTAGTTTATGTCTTTAATACTGAAGCTATTTTAAAATACAACCCTCTGCAAGACGCAGCATTCACCGTCAGCAGCACCTGTGATTCAATTCAAGTAACTAACTCAGGGGCCAGGATTTAGCTCAGTGGTTCCACCGCCTGCCTCGAAAGCGAAAGCGCAAGGTCCCAAGTTCGATCTGCGGTACCAAAAAAAAAAAAATAACGAACTCGGTGTTCCGTTCTTCCCTTTGATCCCCGTCAACACTGATCCAGGGCACACACAGAATTTTCCTGTGTTCATAGGGTTTCTTTCCAGCTGACAAAGCAAACTCTAAGGTTAAACACCGAAGTCGAACATAACTCAGGATTTTTAATTTCTTTTCTTGCCAGAAAAAATTTATAATAATAAATAACTCAAAATATTTTATATATTCTGTTGTTGGGATATTAGGTTGTAGAAATCCAGAGGTAACTATTAAGTTAGTGTCTTCATTTATTTTTAAAAAATGAGAACAGAACACAGATAAGTAGAATTGTAGGAAGAGCTGACCTTTAAGCTCAGTGCGCACTTGAAGAAGCATGTGGCTCCTTACTGTTGCCAGCATAGATGTTTAGGGAAGGAGACTCGAGCCCAAAGGACATTCCATGGTGGAGAGGTGTGGATGGGCCTCTCTCAGCAGGAAATGACCCGTTCCCTGTGCACTTTTTGGAGGTTTCATCACCTGAGATTTCTGTGTGAGGCCCCGTGCAGCGTGGGAGGAGCAGGGGCACTTGTATACAGTGGAGGGATGACGTGAATGGCCCATTAGGGCGAGGAACATGTCCTCCAAAGGAACAGATTGAATTGACACTGAATAACCCCGTAAGTATGAAAAGCAGGAAAAAAAGAAAGGGAGAATAAAAGACATTAATTAATCCATAATAATTGACCTTATCAATAATGGTCTAAAAAAGAACATATCTTTCAAATCCCTGAAAGATATCTAAATCCTTCTTTTTATGTAATGTCTTCATTTCTGAAGTCTCGCTTCCGAGTTTATTATGACTTCCTCAGGCAGGTGGGGGTGCCCAGAAAGCTGTCTTCTCAACACAGCTCTTGAAGGGCTTGGAGCGCCCCTATTGAGCTGGTGGTAGGGCCAAGTGCAGGCCGCACTTCTGAGTTAATGAGCTTACACCCCCTGCCCCCACCCCGCCCGGCAGCGAGCCAGCCGGCCATCCTGTGGGCTGCAGCCTGGCCAAATGCTCCCCAGCAATTAGACACTGATGAAGTGTTTCTCTTCTTTACAGGTGGGAAGGAAAGAATGAAAATGAAGTGGGCAGATGTAAGGAGACCGGCAAAGTTCACGTGAAGGTGGATCTCAAGTACTACCGACCGACCGAAGTGGTAAGGACCCTGGCTGTCCAGGGCCTGGCCATACTGGCCAGGTGGCTAGGAACATCTTCTCACAGGGTGCCTGCTGCCGGCCTTCAGCGCTGTCCTTGTGCCTCTCATTGGGCATTTCTCCAACCAGAACCCAGTGAATTAAACCTGAATATCGTTCTCACCCCTCAAAGTCCATTCCTCTAGAAAGGAAAACAGTAGACCATATCCAAGGAAAGTTGATTTCAGAAGTGGGGCTCAGTGTTGGCCAATCCGGTCCCATCAGGCTGTGCTGGGCTGACCCTGATGCCCACAGGACCTCCGACTTGGGACGCCCGCCTGGCCTTCAGGGTCTCTGTGGTCCAGAGAGCCACAGACCTGTCCAGCTCCTCCTGTGCGCGCCCACCCGTGCACAGCTCCGCAAATGTGTCCACACCTAACTCCTGGTGACCTGCCTCAGCTCAGGGGCCGCCTGCCTGTGAAGCTCTTTCTGGCCATTGCACTACTACCATTGAGATCTCTTCCCTTCCCTTTGTATCCACATTGCGTGCTAGATATAATCCTGTCAAGTGCCTATCAGAATCATTTGTTTACCTGTCTTTCTCCCTTTGGATATTGTTTTTAAAAGGACTGTAATAAGGCAGGTGCTTAATACATACTGATTGGTAGATGGATAAATTTTGAAATACAGAAGTTTCTGTATTAAGAAATAACCTGGGCTAGGGATTTAGCTCAGTGGTTCCACCGCCTGCCTTGAAAGCGCAAGGTCCCGAGTTTGATCCCCGGTACCAAAGGAAAAAAAGAAAGAAAGAAATAACCTGTAACCAGGGATTTAGCTCAGTGGCGCCATGCCTGCCTCACAAGTGCAAGGCCCTGAGTTCAATCCCTGGTATTGAGAAGAAAAAAAAAAAAGGAAATAACCTATAGATTGTCAATTTCAGTAGTATATATTGTTAAGTTCATTGCATCTTTGCCTAAATTTATAAAAATATGTAGTTTGGTACTATTGCTTTACATGTGATCCACCCTCCCTATGGTGACAAAACTGAAAGTATTAAAATAATATAAATATACAAAACTAACAGCAGCATTTTCAGAGATAAACATTGAAATGTGACGGTTGCCTCCTGAAGTGCACATTAACTATGAAAATTAGGTTCTTTTAAACCTGTTTTCTCTGTGTTTTGAACCAAATTCCTACATATTGTACAACCTTTCAAAGATTAGAAGAACCCCAGGGAAGAGTCACCCAGAGTGAAGATAGCGAGTGTACTGTCATTAGCCACCTCTCAGAGGTTCAAACCCGGAAAAGCTGTGCCTGCTGCACTCAGCACAGAAGCACCTCAAAGGCAAAGGAAGTCATGGGGCAGGGGCAGGGGCAGCGGGAGGGCGGGGCAGGAGCATTGGCCCGGCGCAGGGCGTGGCTGGCTCTGACACAGCCAACTATTGTTCCCTCTGCTCATGGCCAGTGGGTGTGCCCAGGAGAGGATGTGCCCTGTCCCTGGGGGAGGAAGATACCAGCCCACCGGTGCTGACAGTGCAAGGACAGTTGGTGTAGAGCCCCAGGCAGCACTGCTTGCATTTCCCTGTCCTTTGGAGGTTCCACAGGGAGTCGGTCTGGAACCCAGCACGATCACATATATGGGCAAACCCATCTCTCCTCACAGAGCAGTAGTCATCTTGGGGTGGAAACTTCACGAAGCCAACCAAAACCTGAGTTCACACAACAGCTTAAACGTGGCTTTCTCTCCTCGGCACCAAAATAGTTTCAAAAGCTAGGAAGTTGCTAAGAATGGCTTGTCTGTCATTCTTACTTAGGCAAGGTGTGGGATTGATAAGACACAGAACAAAAGAATTTGTTGAACAGGAAAAGGACCCTCAGACTGACAAGACTGCTCTTGAATCCCAGTCGACCCCCTTTCCTGCATCCCTGTCCATTTCTTTTGTTCATTCAAATGCTATCATCATACCTGTTCTGCAACTCTGTTGACACCAGCATTGTTTGAACATAGAATGGTGTCTGATTTCATAGGCCTACTTCATTTTTCCACCCATCTAGTTCTCCCCCAAGATCCCTTACTACCTGCTTGTGGATCTGGAACTGCATTTCGTCTTCCCAGGCCTGGGGCTACATTACTTTTGTTCACTCCACTTCAACTCAGTATTTCATTGGCCTGGCCTTCCTGGTGTGGTGAGACTTACCTTTAACCTCATGGTTCAGAACTCCAAGGCCTCCTTAGACTTGGATCAATCTCACTAGCCTTTGGTGGAGTCGCCTCAGGGGTGACCGTGTTCTTCCAGTTGAAAGGCAACCAGAATGGAGGCTGCACTGTAAACGGGCTTTTGCCTAGCAGCATCTCAGGGTCCTTCTCCATGAGTCCTGAAGTGCTCTGTGCATCCTGAGGTTCACCAGCTGGCACAGTAGGGCAGAGCCAAGACACCCACCCCTCACCCACAGCCTTCCCCGTTGGCATCTCAGTCCGTGCTGCACCTGCAGAGGCTTCTGTGAGTCTGCTCTCCTGCTCAGCTTTAGTCCTCTGTCCCCCAGATCTTCAGTGTGTGGGGCACTTGCAGCACACACGATAGAGTAGGGCTGGGAGTATAGCTGAGTGGTAGGGCGCTTGCCTTTGCTCAAGACCCCGGGTTCTATCCCCAGCACTCCCAAAAAAGGCATAAAGTAGGTCTTGTAGTCAGATGACTCCAGAATGACTAATAGAAGAAAAAGATAATAAAGAAAAATTGGAAAAAATAAAGAGTAATCAGGGCATATGGGGCCTCAGAGCACTAATACCCTAAAGCAAGACTGACAGAAAGTAGAGCTTTATGTTGTTTTTTGAATAAGCTTCAGCCTAGTCTTAACCAATGCCCTTTCCTCCACAGCGGCAGGTACTAATCCAGGAGAGGCCCCCAGTGACTTCGCATAGAGCATAGTTCCCTGTGTGCTGATACTTATTTTCCTTGTTGATGTAGCCACCACAAAACCTTAAATCTGGCTTCTGTACCAGCATGAAAAGTTCCTATTCTGGACCAAGGACTCCAGCATACAGTTACAGCTGAATCCAGTCACCAGTGAGCCTCTGGGCTCCTTAAGCTGTTTAGGAGTTTTTGCTACTATAGAAAGCTTGATCTTGGAAATCACACTTTAAATTTTCCGTTGCCCCTGAATTCCGGTATCTGATGATGCCAGTTTTAATGCTTGAGTCCTAAGCTGCTTAACACTCCTGCCCTAGGCTGGGGGTGCAGCTCAGTGGTAGAGAGATTGCCTAGCATGTGCACAGCCCAGGGTTCCACCCCCAGCACTGGGGAAGAAAACATGAACCAACTGATGCCTTGTCTGTAGTTTTCTCTATATTTGTATGTTGCCACAGAGTTTTATTGCACAGTACACTGATTTCTGGAGAGGAAATAGTATTGTGTTTGAATGGGAACCCTGGGGCTGGACTGCCTGAGTTCGAAACCTGTCAGTGACTAACTGTGTAACCTTAGGCCAGTTACTTAACTTCTCAGTGCCTTTATTTTCCTCATTTTAAAAAGTAGGACTAATAATAGAACTTCTTTCAAAGAATTGTTGAGAGATGAATGGAGTCAGTTCTAGAGTGTGTGGCACACAGTAAATACCCAGTATTGTTGCTGTTCCTTCTGTATTTTTTCATTCCTTAAGTATTTACCAAGCACTGGTGGGCCCTGGGACTGTAATGATGCACAAGAAAATCACAGTCCCCGCCCTCGTGGAAGTTGTAGGTGCAGAGGTGACATTGGTTCCTGGAATCTGAAATCTTTGGAAAAGTAGGATGACATCATTAGTGAACTATATGGACTATATTAACTGACAGTTAAAATGTACAGTAAAGGATAATCAAGGCTTCTAGGAAACATTAATATGTTCTTAGCTTCACTATGCTTGTTCTATCTCCGATTTCATCCTTTGGAGTCTCATTCTAAAAGTTCAGTGCCTATTTCAGTGGCACTGAAATATGGAAATATGAAGGAATTGATAGTGACCTGTTAGTTAATTTAAAATAACCACAAAGATGTCTTCTTTTTCTTTGAGAAATTTTGACTTGGAAAATTCACAAAGGAGGGATTAATAAAGTAGTCATCCTCATATACCAAATATTTAACCACATCAAATGATCAATCCACTATAAAAGGGAAAACAAAGACTTTTTTTAGTGAAACTAACAAGAACTCCTTTTTTTCCCTGCAGAGGACTTTAGGAAATGGGGTAAGGGACATGTTCACAGACCAATATCAAGAACTTTTCATGAAAAATAGCTTAAACTCTGTTAGCTGATACTGAATTTTTTCTTCCTATATCATTTTTTTCTTTAACATTAATTTTTCTTCCCATCCTATTTCTGATGTCCTAGATGTGATTTAGTCTTATTTACTTAAATATCTTGTATTTACTCCTGCTAAGGCAGTAGTGATTTCAAACTCCAACAAGCTAATTAACACACCTTCCTCTAGTGAAAATGTGTGGCCTGTTTCTAATCAGATTACCATATGCTGTCTCCCCCTGGCCCCCCACAAACCTTTCCTAATATTTTTCAGTAAGTGATGTTAAGTTAAACGGCCTGTAATTGCTTGTTCCATCGCCTAACCCTGTTTAAAATAATGATACGTAACACTTTCCAGGTCTTAGGAATCCGATCTGTCAGCAGAGGACTTGTGTAAATTCCACCGAGGGCTTCCCTCCTGCGTCTGTGTTTTGGGGTGGAAAGTCCTGGATGTGTTCACCAGGCGGCCTTCTGTCCCCAAACTGTGCCCCTGTTCTCCCAAAGCTGTCCTCACCACCTTCGGCACTTCCCCACCACACAGGAAATGCGATCCGTCCCTCTGTCCCTGCATCTGCAGCAGCCCCGGTGGAAACCAGTCCACCTTCCCCAGCCCTGACCCTCTGACCCTCTGACCCCTGGGGCGCTCATCCTCCCTTGTGTGCCTGCTCTTTGATCCCTCTCACACTGGTGAGAGCTGGGGTCCGGGGCTGCAGAGAGCAGGGTGGGGCGCAGGCCTCTCTTCCG